TGCCCCCGGCGAGCAGGTGGCGCGGAGAGGCCCGCAGCCAGTCCGAGGCGGGCAGGGGCAGCCTGGGATGGGGAAGGGGCCCCGTGCTTTCGGACGGCCTCGCTCAGGATCCCAAAAACACCGCTGGGGGGCGGTTGGTCCTCCTGCGTGCCAAGGGAACAGCTTTGGTCCCTAGAAGAAGAGCGCAGGATGAACCTGGCGAGGCACCCGGAAACCCGCAGTAGCCCTCGGGCTTCCCAGGGGCCAGCCAGACCCTCGCCAAGGAAACACGGCCTTCTCCCCAAAAAGTTACCCCTGCGTTTCGTCTCACCCCTCCTGCTCCCCTCCCAGCTCGCACCGCTTTGTTGAGGGAAATCCACAGCAGGGTGGCCTTAACCAACACGCTAGGTATCATCCCACAGAGTAAACGTGAAAACAAGAAAACCAAAACACAACTGGAACAAACCCTGGATTCGAATGAGAGAAGCCAGGAGATCATCGCCTAAGGGACTGAAACATTTGGACAGTCCCGTTTCTCTGAGCAACTACATTTTCACTAAGTTGCAGCTGAAAAAAGCAAAAATCTGTTTCACAGACCCTGATAATGGGAAATCATCTCTCCTTGTAAAGAAAACACAGGCTAACCCTCAGAAGCAGCTGTCTTCAGGTCTCCTCATGAGATAGGATACCGCCAAAATATTTTCAAATTATCACAAAAATGTTTCTGCTGATGCTTACAGAGGATGAACTTTGTTTGTTTTACAGTAAACACACCGCATCCCCGACCCCCGAGGCCACCCTGCTCCCTGGCGCCGGCCGCCGCAGGCTCCGAGGCCCTGGCTCGCCCCAAGCACCCGCCGAGGCACCGCGTACGCCCGCGCCGAGTTCCAGCTGTGAATCCGCCAAGTTCCAGCTGTGAATCCGCCCAGTTGTCTCCCCCATCCCAACTATTTTTGTCACCTGCGTGTTGCCAAACGCAGCCACCGCTCCTGCAACCCAGTTTATCTTTTCTGTTCTTTATGAAATACTCTCAATTATTCATGTCCCATACTTCTAAAAGTCTATATTAGGTTTTCCCACTACGTATGTTACTTTTTATTACTCTTCAGTATCCGATGGAAGTAAACTCATAGCCACTTACCTTAACACCTTGCAGCTTTATCCATTTTTTTCCTTGTCTTTTTAAGCAAGGAAATTCTGTATTATTTTTAAAATAACGGATTTCTGTATTATTTTTAAAATTTTACAGCTACTTCCAGAACAGTATTTTACTTTCAGAAGAATATCACATTTGCATTTTCCTCAGGACGTCTTCAGTTCTGGGTGATGTCAAGAAGATATTCCTATATGAAAGCAGGAACACCTTCTCCTCCCACAGGTACCTAACAAATTAAAAGTGGAAAAATAGTTACAGGGCAGGAACTACCTATTAATTGGTTTTACTATGCTTGAGTTACTGTGACTTTATTCTTGATTGGAACTAGTGATAATAGGGCTGTATGGACATGTCTCTTCTTCAATGCCCGTTGGTTCTCCATCGCAAGAAAGGTACCCTGGGCGGTCATACAAGCAGAAGGAATAAGCCCTCTGGAGTAGTTCACCTAGTAATTAAAAATCAGTTCAAACCAAGTACTTTAAATCTCTTTTCCGGGTAACCAGGTCTCGTGCCTAAGCCCCATTTCTTTCAGAAGTAATTTCACAGACATCAGATCCCAAGCGTTCTTGAATAATTTACGGACTAGAGGGTAACAAATCTTTTTCATGAATATCTGTAACCTCCTACTAATAAATAATTAACTGTCTGCTCATTAACAGTAGGAAGAATGAGAAAGCGTTAAATTTCACAACACGGGAATTTTTTTGTTTGTTTGTTTCATTGAGCCTCCTTAACATATTTC